CCCCAAAACCCCAAAACCCCAAAACCCCAAAACCCCAAAACCCCTATTTGGGAACAAAATATTGATTAAATTCAAGGTTTCAATCTTATTTAATAAAGATTCTACCTAGTGGTTATTTAGTTTCAAACAGGATATCCTCCTCTTCAAAATCAAAGTCATCATCGATCAAGTCAACGCAGACAACCATCCAAAATCTACTTCTGATGGGCTTAGAGCAGCCGAGGTTCTTAAGAACTTCCAGGAAGGTGCCAAATTGTGGCTGAACAAAAATAGTGAAGTACCTATCGACCAGATCTAGCCTTATATTCTCGAACGTGGGAGAAAGGTTTCTCAATATTTCATGGTCTTTAAAGTACCTTTCATAGAGATTCAGCTTATAATCCTTGGTGATTATGCGATTGATCTGTTTCTCAAAGCCAGACATGATATCTGCATCTTTCTTCAGATCCCCTAGCTTAGACTCCTGTGTTTCCCAAGCATGAATGAAATAGTCATAGCCAGGATCACCGATATGGATGTCTTGGAGGATGAACCCTTCCACCATAATGAAGGACATCCAGAGCTCGATCTTGAAGAACACCTGAGCTAGGAGTTCCATTCCTCCTTCCTTGAGAGGATTATTGAACTCAAGGACCAGAGTAGTATTCTTGAGATGTAACTGTCCAGCAGTAATATCTATGTCCTGCATTTCATCTATGCCACATTAACAAGGTAACTTACTAAGATAGACTGTAATATTACAGTTCTTTGCAAGTCTTGCATACTTGTAAAATAGGTAAGCAATATCTCCACAGTCAAGGTTTGCAACTTTGCGCTTATTTTCTACGATCACATTTCCTAGTCCTTCTATAATATATGTTAAAATTTTCATTGTTTGAGAATTTTAGAGAGAAATGGTTGAGATTTGTATAAATGAAGACTCGAATCAGTTATTCAGAAAGCAATGGGATGGCTCTCCTTCTAGAGAGCTAAATTACTTACCTCCAAGAGCTTGAATACCATGCAAGGAGTTGACGAAGTCTTCAGAGATAAAGAATTGCAAGTATCTTCCATCATCATTGTTCTCATAGGTTGGCATATATTTGAGATTCTCCAATTTAATTAAACTCTGTTCTACAGTCTCTGGTTTGCTAGGAATAAAACTCATCCCGAAGAAGCGTGTGGAGATGAAGTTCTCCCTAATGGAAGGGTTTGTGATGGTCTTTGCAAAGTGAATCAAGTTTTGGCACAAGCAAACACCTGAGTTACCTCCTTCACTGTCCAACCTGGGCCAAGGCATAGCAACAGGACACCGCCGGTTCAGCTCAGGATCTGTAATATTTCAAGGTGTTGGGTTTTCTCCGTTCTCCGACTTAGATGTGTTAGTATAGAAAGTCTCAGAGATCACATTGTTGGCCCAACGTTCAATATCTAAACGGAAGAGCCTTAACATGTCATTGATCTTTTCGAGCATGAATCTGTCAATATTTTGAAAGAACTCTCCCATCATTACCAGAGGAATAGTATTAGTTGTCACTTTGAGCCTATCCTTCTTTAAATTTTGAACTTGTGCCACTATAGAGTTGATCACTGTCTTGACTCTCCCAGTTGTGTTACAGAAGGTCGGCTGCAGAGCTAGTGTAATTGACAAGCAAGCTGAGTAGTTGGCAGAGCCATAATCAGAGAAAACTGGAGAGTCTGAGACAAATTCAAACGCTTCGATGAAATCTAGCTGATCTATTGTTAGCTTCACTGTCTGAGACGATTCTATCAGCACCATCATATTGGTATCTTCTTTGAACTTAACTTGTGGATATTTGAGATTTAAAATGGTCAAATTTGAAGAAGTAGCTGTGTAGATTTCATTATGGCTTAGTTCAACATGACATCCATTCCGTCAGAAGATAATCTTTTGCAAATTTTCTTGAAAATGAGGCCAGAAATCTTTAATGAAAGAGTCAAAGATGTCCTTCCTGATCGCCACTGTGACACCTGATTGGAGATACTCTATTGCTTGCACTGAGGAGATCAAGACTATGAAGAGAACAATTAGTTTGCTAAACTCCATTTGTAGAAATATATTATAAAAATGTCTAAAATATGTTCAAAAGTAGCCGGAATCTAGGGGTTTTGGGGTTTTGGGGTTTTGGGGTTTTGGGG